ACTCAAAAACAAAATCCAAGCCTTAATTGACTCCGGTGTCATAACGACGGAACAAGCCAAGTAAAGATGGTTCTAACTCCAGTGGGTGCACGAGTATAAACTGTTTCCCCACACTCCAAAGAGTATATGAGTATAAACTGATTCTCGGTCATCCAACTAAGTACAATGTTAAACCTGGTTTCGCAAAGGAAGCTGGGGGTGGATGATTTATGTAACGGGAAGTTCCTAGAGAATCTAATATTCTTAAGGATAACCCGAACATGCGACTGAGGATAACGTACTCCTCGTTACACCCAGTTTTGCAAAGAAAGCTGGGGGTGGATAATTCATGTAACGGGAAGTTCCCGGAAGAATGTTAAATATAATATTCTTAGGGATAACCCGATCATTATGAACAAAGTGATAAACACTAAACTCCTACTATGACTTTCGAATACTCTTTTGCTGAGGTGAGATTCGATCACCTCTTTAGATCAATCTTTCCTCACAAAACTCCTCACCGATCAAATCGATCGACGAAGAATACACCAAAATCCGTCATGGATTAAAATCATTTAAACTCCCACCTTTCACTTGGTCAAACCTTTAAACAGTTAGGACCAAAGCCAAAATCCCCTCTCGATTCCTTTAATGAACGAGAGGTCCACAAATCGAACGATCAAACCTTTAAACAGTTAGGATCGTCCCAAACCCTTACTTGGTCAAACCTTTAAACAGTTAGGACCAAAGCCATAATCCCCTCTCGATTCCTTCCATGAACGAGAGGTCCACAAATTGAACGATCAAACATTTAAACAGTTATGATCGTATCAAACTCACATCTGGTCAAACCTTTAAATAGTTAGGACCAAAGCCAAAATCCTCTCTCGATTCCTTCCATGAACGAGAGGACCACAAATTGAACGATCAAACCTTTAAACAGTTAGGATCGTATCAAACTCACATCTGGTCAAACCTTTAAACAGTTAGGACCAAAGCCAAAATCCCCTCTCGATTCCTTCCATGAACGAGAGGCCCACAAATTGAACGATCAAACATTTAAACAGTTAGGATCGTATCAAACTCACATCTGGTCAAACCTTTAAACAGTTAAGGACCAAAGCCAAAATCCCCTCTCGATTCCTTCCATGAATGAGAGGCCCACGAATTGAGCGATCAAACCTTTAAACAGTGAGGATCGTATTAAACTCCCACTTGGTCAAACCTTACTACAGTTAGGACCACAACCAAAATCTATTCTCTATTCATTCCACGAACGAGAGGTCCACTTTCAGTTGAATAATCAAACCTTATGACAGTTAGGAATATTCAAACCCGTCCAGATTCTCTAAGTGGAGATCCCACTTTGAGTTTCCTTTGGACCAGGAGATAGAATATAAAATTCTTTCTCTCCATCATCGGGTTCATCTCTACCAACAAAAAAGAGACCAGGAGATAGAATATAAAATTCTTCCTATCTGATTTTTAGGTTTATCTCTACCAACAAAAAAGAGACCAGGAGATAGAATATAAAATTCTTCCTCTCCATCATCGGGTTCACCTCTACCAACAAAAAGAGACCAGAATACTCCAATAGGTACACGAGTCTAAACTGTTTTCCTACACTCGACAGGCAGTTTCTGGAGAATATTAATCTGAATATTCTTAAGGATAACCTGATGAACTCTCAATACACATACAAGCATCAATCTGGAAATACCAGCCTCGATTCAAGATCTCAACAACGGTCAAGCGATAAACGCAGTGCCGGAGAAGCATTAGCTGTTCTACAAAGAACTGAATAGACTAATGGATGAAGAGATCAAGAGCTGGAGCCATTTTACAGATTCTTCTACACGATCTACTCAATCAAGTATTGAAAGGATTGCAAATAAGACCTGTCTTATCCAAAGTGTCTCAGACTCCTCTATAAAAGAATAAGTCTGGAACACTTTAGAGGGGGTATCTGTAGGCGTCAAAAAATGCTGAAAGATATCCAAGCACAGCTCAAAAGGAGATTATCAAAAAATCAAAGAAAAAGACAGTCTTTACTGTCTCGCACGCGAGACAGTCTTTACTGTCTCGCCCGTGAGACAGTCTATACTGTCTCACGCGAGACAGTCTTTACTGTCTTGCCGTGCGAGACAGTCCTTACTGTCTCGCCGTGCGAGACAGTGTTTACTGTCTCACAGAGCGAGACAGTTCTCGAAGGCTCAGAAACTGTTTTATAAGCCGTCGACACGTGGCCATTAACTGCCAAAGAACATGGAAAACGTTGTGGGCGAGAATCACGTTAACAACTGCCAAAATAACAAAGTTTTAAAACGTGGAAAGACAGTTACAACAAAAACTGCCAGACAGTTACTATTTCCGAGATAGTATTTACTGTCTCACGGGCCGAGACAGTCTTTACTGTCTCGGAACCCGAGACAGTAAACACTGTCTCGGAAGCACTGTTCATCCTGGAGGCTATAAATACCCCCTGAGATCGATTTTTAAAAGGAGGCTGATCATTTTTGAGCACTTTGGAGCAAATAGAGCAGAGTTCTTGAGCATCTGGCAATTCCTTGAGATTCGAGCTTTGACTTGATCTTAAGAAGAGTGATCGTCTTACTTTGATAAGATCTTCACTTCAAATTCCTACTTCGATAAACGAAGGAAGAATCACTTAACCCCTCACGATTCAATCAGAATCTGTGATTTGGTGGTCCACGAGTCAAAACACTCCCGGCACAGGCAAAGATCTCACACAAGCAGTGATCCAAACAACGATCCTGCGTTTGTTTTTAAAAAGTTATAATTTTCATTTTGTTGTGTAAAAGAAGTCTTATAAAAAGACTATTTCTTTCAAATTTGTTGTAATCGACTGAAGATATAATGAATTCCACAACGAGATCAACTTTTGACGCAAACAGTTCCATTCTCCTTGCTTCTTCACCGAGAAGGCTATCACTGACGGTATCCATGGTGAGCTTTCCTTCCGGAGCTGAGTTACTAGGTGTAACCACAAGATTGTCACAACTTTCTGGTAGGGAACTAAGGAGTAGAAGAGCTTGCAACTCATCATCAATCTTCATGTCAATTTTCGTTAGTTGATTTAAGAGCTCCTTGAAATTATTCAAGTGCTCAATCATACTTTTACTATCCTTATACTCCAACTTCACCAACCGTCGAACTAAATGAGCTTTATTACGAGGCGTTTTCTTTTGAATCATGGACTCAAGCTTTGTCCATAATTCATAAGCATTTGTATAAGTAGAAACATATTCAAAGAGAGTTTTATCAATATACTTACGAATCATAGCAACAACCTTCCGATTTACCAGCTCCCACTCTGCATCGCTCTTTCCTTCTACCTTGGTTTTGTGGATGATGAGCTCATGTAAATCCTTACAGTATAGATGGTCCTCCATCATCGGCTTCTAGTATGAGTAGTTGTTGGCCGTGAGCTTGAACATGTCTCTATCGTGAGTGACGTTATCCTCCATCTTGAGCTTCACGAGCTAATGATGATTTCGGACGAACCTGGCTCTGATACCATTGTTAGGAAAACTCAGTCTTTCCCGCCTCGTGAAGTTAAAATAGGCACTTATAAATTAAGATAATAATGAGAGCACAAGAGTTTATGGTCCTCCAATATTGAGGTTCTTCCACTATACAAAAGAATAGTAGGATTACAATAATTTATATTTTACAAAACTGCCTCACTTCGGTGCCTCACTCGAGCCTGAGGATTAGGACTCTCAAACTATCTCACTTCTCTCTCAAAGAGGCTCTCTAACTCTTTATATTAGAGGTTTTCTCTCACTCTAGGAAGTGGATTATTTTCTTGTATTGGATGGATATGAATGAAGGCTTCCACCCCTATATATACTACTCCACCTTCATAATGAGTGGTGGGGATTAATTTGATCCAATGATAGAGATTAGCTCTCTAGAATTCTCCACACATATCTTTACTTTCTAGAGATTTCTAAAGAATCTCTACACTCCTCCATTCTATTCAATATTCTTCCAAAATGTTCCAGAAGGCTCCACACATCTCTAGAATATTCTAGAGGATTCTACACGTTTCTAGAGAATTCTACATTTCTATAGAGTTCTCTAGAAAGTTTTAGAATTTTCTAGAATCTTCCCAATTAAGAAGGGATCCAAACAGATACTTGATATAGTTATGTGATAATATATTTGGGTTATAAAGGAAAACAAAAGAACAGTCAAAGATTAATATTTTTAATGATATTTTTTCTCATCAAGCCCATGTGTTACTGTTTTCCCTAAGCTATCGCTATCCCATGCATATGACAACGGTTGACCGAGACACATAATTGAGTCTTATTCATACACTTGTCCATTATTTAACACAACATTATACATCTAGAGTCTTGTTTTTTTTTAAACCCGCGTGGTTGGCGCATCGTAAGGCTCTACTACACTCTTCCTGGGAAGCGATTCATAGCAGGCTAGTTTCGTATTCAAATCCCTCAACAGGAAACAAAAACCCTCAGGCCAGTGCCAGCCATGAAGCACGAGCGTAGATTAGTCTCATACATGCATAGAAAAAAATTATTTAAACATGCACTCAATTATAAGATGTATGTTTTAATTTAAAAAAAATATTGTCTTACACTTCTTCCACGCATATGCTACACTTTAAATCAATTTCTTGAAACTTGTTAGACATCAGTCGAGCTCATTTCAGCATATATTCAAGTTTAAAACTATAATTTTAAAGGATCATTTAGCATTCGAGTTCAAAGATGAGCATTTTTCAAATTATATTATAATCAACATAATAAAAAAAACTTAAGACTATGATAGAAAATTTATTTCTAATAACACATGAATTGAAAAATGGCAACAATCTCATGTAAATACCCGTTTTTAAATTTTCGCGACTAACTCAAAAATGTTAACATTTATGCGACCAATATGTAAACCCCACCCCCCAAAAAAAAACAAAGAAAGGAAAACAGAAAAAAGACAAAAGTAATAAAAAAAGCTAAAATGTAATTTTTTTTTCTCATTTTTGCTGCGGTTCTTCGCCCTCCGTAAATCTCATGTCCCTCGCTGCGACACGCTCTCCAACGTAGAGAGGAGAGGATTCCTCTCTCTCTCTCTCTCTAAAACCTCGATCTCTTTCTCTGTCTAGGAATCTCGACCTCCTTAGTTTCGATCGCAATCGAAATTGTCGCCATTAGAAACTCACAATTATAATGCCCTGTTATCACTCTTCGTTAGGATCGCGGATTCGATCGTGGCTTCGAGATTACGACAGGATTCAAGACGTAGCCGTCATCCTCATCTACATCCAAGTCAGTCGAACCCCCCTACGGTTTCTCAATTTCAATTTCTTGCGTAGGGCTTAGGTTTCGAGATTTCATTTCTTCTGTTGCGTTTGAATTTTAGATTGGCTGCGCTCTGGTTGGATCTCTGGGGGCGTTGTTCAATGGCGTGCTGCTGATTAATCTTGTCATAGCTCTCTTTGCTCTCGTTGCGATCGAGAGTAGTAGCCAGAGCCTCGGAAGAACTTACGCTGTCCTTCTCTTCTGTGCGATTATTCTCGATATCAGCTGGCTTATACTCTTTTCGGGCTCGATTTGGTACCCACCCTTTTCCCACTGGCAATTTTTGTGTAAATTATGTTCCGTCAATGGAGTTAGTTGCCAATTGGATTCATGAATCAACAATGAGAGAACACCCGAAGAGTATGGGAACTTGTAGCTTATTACTACCTAGGTTGACCCATATTTAAGTTCTATTACAGTGTCACAATAGAAGTATTTAGTTGCTAATATGAGGATTTTGTGGGCAATGGGGTAGAATGATGATACCCATGAGATGTTTTGTTGTTCAAATAGTGACGTTCCTGAAGAAAGAGGAAGAGATAATCACAATTATCTTATATAATTAATGTCATATCAATGATGTTTAGAGTCACAGAGATAATACGGCCAAGCCCAAGGGTTTTCTTGTGCCTGGGGTTTGTGTGAAATGATCTTGCATGTGGGAGGTCTAATTGCCAGGATTCTCTGTTACTGAATCCTACATATAAAGAGTAGTGATAACTGTACACAAGAGTTACTCTACTCTTGCACTCCTACACACAAAAAAGTGGGATCTCTTTTCGTAAATTGCAAAAGGAAATTGTGAGTTGCAATGGACCCCCCTTCATTGTTTCCAAGGGTACAAGAGTAGTACAACTCTTGCAGTACACATAAATCGTAGTTTTAGAGGATTGATAATGTTTACTTCAATCTGTTCACAATTATTTCAGCTTGAGGGCTCTTTCTTTGGTCCTGGAGGTGCGATTCACTGATTCTTATTAGCCTATAGGAGACTTTCTACAGGACTATCACATAGTTTTAGACGCGTGTCGGACATGAATACGGCACCAAAAATGAAGTGTCCGAGTAACCTAGCTATCTACAAAGTAGGTGAAAAATGGTTGTACTTTTCTGAGGCTATGAGAACCTGATTCATAACTATTAGTTACTATCTACAAAAGCAGGTAAAAATGGATCTACTTTTCTGAAGTTACGAGTTCCTGATTCAGGTATAGTAATCTCTGACAATGTTTTTCTTCTGATTTATGGCTACTAGAATATAATAACAAAGATTGAATGTGCAGATAATTAAGACCTCAGAGATGATAGATCTAGTCAAGGGAAGAATTTTGGAATTAAGATCTACATGAGAGATTTGAGAATCTTGAGATCAAATATGCAAAGTTTATGGATTAATTAGAACCTAAATGCTAAGTATTGATAGAATTAGTTAGAACCTAAATTGCTAATTATTGATCTTTGCTTACCGTTACCTTTACAATTAAGGTTTTTTATGTAGAATAATCTTGAGTTGCTCTTGGTCCAAGCTTTTCAGTAAACATCATTGTCGAGTAGGAACTTGCACGTCATTTGTTCGAGCAACCTAATTGCGGATAAGGTTAAATTGGGTAGCCATAGAATCAAGCTTCTTTTGAGAATATGTAAAATTTGTCGATTACTTAGAAATGAAATTTAAAGTATTATTGCCTATACATAATGGTTCTATTGCTCTGGGACCAAATTTCTCAATAAATGACAACTTTCTTCTCACTAATATGCGTTAAATATGCACATTAAGTTGAACTCTGTCCCGTAGTGGCATGGAACCCGATTTGTTCTGGTTCACGGGGTGGGTACGGGAATGTGGCACGCCACTTATTAAGAATTGAGTGCGAGGGGGGTGCACTTATACGCTTATACGGGGTGGGAATCGGGTCGTGCTCCACCTGAATCTGGGACGATTGTATTCAGGTCGTGGCTTGCTATAGGGTTCCACGTTCCCAACTTCTATGTTCTGACCAACGTTCATGAGCGTTTAAAATCAAAATGTTTTTAACTAGGATTAGAGATGTTAGCAAGCAGATTGACTTAATTAGTGCTCATCATCCTACTCTTGTTACATCAGGCTTATAATTGGCCTTGAATTTCATTGAGTAGAATATTACATCTCATTTCTTGCCTTTTTTTGTATTACGGTTGTCAATTTTCGATCCTTTTGACTGCATATTATGTGACTATGAGTTCTTCCATCTACCTTTTCTTGCAACATGGTGCTCTGAATACCCCTCTTGTGGATATGCCTACATCCTCCAAGTGACAGAAACTGATGTTACACTCTGGTGCAGTGGCTAGCTTGGATTTGTGCACAAAGACATCTTCTTTGGTCTTCGTCTATGTAGCACGGACCTTTATTGCTTGGCAATCTGTTTGACTTAGCAGCTAGTACTTATTGCTATGTCATTTCTTTTTTTGGATGTACTGTTTTCGAATCTAATCTGACGAATGTTGTATCCCATCATCTTTGTGGCGGACCGGCAGCGTATACATGTCCATGCTTTTTAAGCTGTCGTCAAACCTTTTTCTAGCTGGTTCTTGTTGCTGGCTTTTACTTGACAGTAACTCAACTCTCACTCATTTGTGACTGACTGTTTCTGTCCTTATTCTAATTTTTCTCTTTGGAGTGTTGTGCCTGTACAAAGTTTCTCTTACAATTAAATCTTTATTTACTCCTCAAAGTATCCCAATGATGGATTGCTATATCTACAATATTTCTGCTGGCAAACTTTAGATACCTTCAGTGGCTACCTTAGGTACTGTCAGCAGTTATTGACTTGACTTGACTTTAGGTCCAAATTCATGATGTTAGTCTAGCCCATCATGGATGGGTATGCATTTTCTCTTTTAGTCAGTGATACAAAGTGACATCGGCTGCTATTGATTTGTATTTTGTTGTTTTTCTTATAACTATTATCTGCCATCTGACTTCTGCATTGTTTTTCTGCAAAGTATTTCTTCTTTTTCATTATTCCGTAACATAGACAATTAATATTTTTTTTCTACATCATGCTTGTGTACAGGAATTTTGCTCCTGCAGAATATGGCACTTTCATCGTCTTCTCACTCAGACTTGCTTTGTCGATGCAAATTATTGGCTTTTCAGTTAGGTTCTTGTCATCATTCCTGTGGATTCAGATGTACAGATTGGGACCTGGGTCCATTGACAGTACAGCCTACCATGAAGTAGATTTTGATGTGAGAAGTAGTTTTCTAAATCCTGCAACTCATGAAATAGCCAGAGAGAACTCCAATTCTGAAGAGTTTATAGGAGGGTCGATTTATGATCCGGCTTATTTCTCTTCCCTTTTTGAAGATAGTCAAGATAATGGATATCTCCGTAAGGTACCTAAGTTCCTCTTCTAATGCATTGCAGCAGTATTTGCAGTAGGGATCAAAATATTACTTGCATGTTACATTGACTTGAAGACAACACCATCGAAGTGGAAAAGGGCCAGGTTATTTTTTGATGTTGAATTGGTCAATGTACCTGAGTCATAAATTTTTAAGTATATCAAAATAATTGCCTTAAGCAATGAGGATTTTGAATCATTTTCTCTTTGATTTTAGTTGTCGTGTGACATCCTTGTCCGTGGTTGTGACTCTACTGTAGAAATGATAAAAATTGTTTAAAGTCTATTATCATACATATCAGTGCAGTAGGGAGAGTGTGGATTAATGAAATTTAAATTTCAAGTGTTTAGATGCTATACGACATGTCCTTATACCGTGTTACCTAGAAACTCCATTTTAGAAGATTTCTCTTTGTTGAGCACAGGACCACTAGGATATGACATGACAGTTAACATTGGTATCCTATTACTCGGATACTCAGTATGGAATTAAAAAACAAAAAATAGAAAATAGTCGTATTTAAAGATATGAAAGGCTTATGAACAAATATTTAGAATGGATCTTGAAGGGAAAGAAGAAGGACGTGCTAACAAATTTTATATTACTTTCACAATCATCTTAACTTGTTTAATGTTTTTTTAACTATGTCAGATGTCAATGTCATGAGACTGAATAGTGGTACATAGAACTTGTTGCTTCTCTAAGTATGAGATCAATAAAATATGTAGTTTGATCGCTGTCCCTATGTGTTATAAAGCGGCCATGTTGGACACCATAGGACAGTCAACACTTGGTGCCCATGGCGCATATCCCGTGTCCCATGTCCATGTAACTCAGCAACTCTACAATCTTACCTATTACTATTTTTTCTTTGATTACCTTTTTTTCCTTTGATGGGATGGCTGGAGACATAGCTGGCCTAGTAAGCGGTTTAACTCCAACTGCAGACTGCAGTAAGACATTTTTCGGGTTGTGAAGTTCATTGAGACATTGGTTTATTGATTATATGTGGTATGTGCATTCAGATGTAAAAGTTCAACTCATAGAAAAAGGTGATCAACTTATCATCCAGAATATTAATGAATACTGAAAGCCTTAAGAGATGACATCATACTTCAACCTGCAAAAGAAGCTCCTTATTCAGTTGTTAACCATGTACTAATGTTGGTCTTGCTAGAAATCCCCTCTTGTTTTTGCATTTGTCTCCCGCAGTATGATATTCATTAATGCTTTTTCATCACTTTGTTCTCTTCTTCCTGCTCCGTGATAGTATATTTTCTTTGTTCTTCAGTGGGAATTTCCTACGATCTAATAAGAGATTTTGGGTAAATTGGAATCCTGACACAGTTTTTTCCTAGGGCTCAATCTCTGCATCTTATCATGATCTCCATGCCCTAAGATACATATGAATCTTGAGGTTTGAGACTTTTAACATTTGTCAAGTGGTTGCAAAAGCAATAGATTCTCAGTAATAGAACAGTCATGAATACTAGGGAAAATAATGGAATGGCATGATTTTTTATGCATTCAGTTTTTATTTTTTATGTATGTAATATATGTGATTGGCGTGTGGCCAAGCTGCACGAGTTTCTCTGTAGTTACACTGAACTCTGAACAGTTTTACATTATTGAAACTTAGTACTCAAATATAGAGTTTAATAAAGGGAAATAGATGTTTCCTCCGTCCAATAATAACAAAGAACTAATAATAACAAAGAACTTAACAGCCATGACAGCTCTTACGAGGGCGTATATTGTGAAAAACATTTGCTTAAACTAATTGATTATGTTGCCTAGGTCATTATGTCTAAACTGCATGGAAGGGGTGGGTAACAGCTGTATATATGTAGGGAATCAAAACAAGTTTTTGTGCAGCTGTACCAGAACAATGAGAATTTGGTAAGGTTAAAAGAGTGATCTGTTGAGAAGGATAGAGACTGAATGTAATGCATTTGAGGAAACTAATGGACATATTTATATAGGTAGAAGGGATCTATTGGTAGAGGAAACTTCGGCTTGGCTAGGCATAGGCATCTATCAGAAGGTCATCAAGCCCAGTGAGCAAAGAGGCTCTTCATTGAGCAAATGATTTGCAAAGAAGAGAGGTGTAGGCTTGAATTGAAGCTCTGAAAAGGTAGTAGCTTGTTTGGTGAAAGACTGAACGGTGAAATTCAATATTAATAAATGATGCAGGGTTAATAGACCAAAAGACTTGTATATTTTAACTAAGAGTTGTTCTATTTTGCCTATTTTTAGAATCACGTTGTATACGGTCTCCTGCACCCTTTTTATTTTATTTTATTTTATTTTTATTTTTTTGAGGGGGGCAAACTACAGAAAGAGAATGTTTGCTATTTCTGAATTTGCTGAACCACTTTCTTCCTGTTGTTCCCTCTCTCATCTTCTCCTATGGAGCTTCAGAAAGGAGCTATATCACCATGCAAATATCAAATAGTCTTCTTCCTACACTAGTCTCTCATCTTAACATGATCATAATAAAAGCTCTACATTTGAAGGTCGGAGAGGGAGTGTTGGTCCTCATGTTGGCTATCTTAGAGCATGCTGGTTTCCTGTTCTCGTTAATCATGACTCTTTAATCTATACTTTCAATCTGTCATTGGCAATCGAAGGTCTCACAATGTTAGCGGACATGGCTACTAGCAAGCCGAATTTGGCAGCAAACTAGCAATCTCCTCCATATTGACATCATAACAATAATTGTTGTAATTTTGTCATTTGTGGGTTAGGTACTCATGCTTCATGGATGAAATTTTCATGCATTTGAGGATCACTTTAGGTTGGGATATTTAGGACTTCGTGGACCTGCTCATGCTGGTGTTGTTGCCTTGTTGGTACCCAGGGCATTCGTTTTGGTGGGGATGGAAGGGTGAGAAAATTTTAAAGCTTGCTGATATACTGTAACTTGCTAGAGTTCTGCCGCTATTTATATTTATAAGCTCGACTGTTTATGTAGATTTTGAATTTTGTGAGGTAGCTGCTCATTGGTGATAGTGTTCATACATAGGGCATCATCGAGATGTGCGTGCATGTGTGTGTGCATATTATGGTTCAGGGTTTGTGGTGTTGCTACGGAAGGAAGGAGTACCATTTGAAAAAGGAAATAATGAAAGTGCATAGAGCAATCTGATATTCTGTATTCACTAGAGTTCTGACACTATTTTAATTGCAAGCTTGGTTGTTTATGTCGATTTTGAAGTTTGAGCTATGTTTTGTAAACAGAGTTCTGTAGATGGGCCTAGGAGGCTTCGTCTTTTGGGCGATGTGGATACATATTTTAAAGGCACCTGGCTGATCAGATTATTTGTATATTTTTCTACTTCCTATTATAGGTCATGCCTATGATCCTTGTGTGAAGTATATGTAGACTATAAGACTTCTTTTGACCATATCAATCATAAAATCTACTCTTGTGCCTCATTGCTCTCCTTAGCACTTGCTGGAGATATTGACCTATATTTTTTCTTCAAATTTATCCAATGCTGTTCAGAGCTAAGTTGATATTTTTCTTTGCTGCTCAGGATGAGAAAAGAAATTTTGGATTTGACAGAGGGTCAACATCAACGATTGAGTCACCCCAACTCAAATCATGTGTTAGTAGATCATTCCAGATTATTGATGTAAGTGAATCTGCCAATTATTTTCCTTTTACATGTTATTGTTTGCCAAAGTCTTTGACTATGTTTGTGTTTAGACCATTGAAGTATTTCCCAAGTCCAACCTTTTAGATTATTTCCTTGATAAGGTCAGACTGGACCACGAGTAAAATGAACTTCGTCATCTGGTTGCAAGCTTTATAGTTCGCTGGTAATCTCTCCCAGTTGACGACAGAGCTTTGATGAGTTCATCCCATAATTGGATCAAAGATTTGGATCTTGGCTTGCTACCTTTTATATTAAGATGCACCAAGTTTCGTCATTTAGGATAAATATCTGAAGTTTACTGTTATCAAAATAGTACTACAAAAGTTTAGCCTACTTTTTAAATTTTAATCGTCGTCGTCAAGTGTCTTTCAAGTTATCTATGATAGACTAATGGGATATGTGAATTTATGTCCATCAACTAGGGTGAAGGTTTTCAACTGACTGACATAATTACTTTCTCGAATATTGCGTCAATGTTGAGTATTTTTTTATTTGGCATGTCAAACTCCTTGAGACTATACTGTTGTTCAAACTGTACACTTCGACATTTCAGCTGGGCCTTAGATTTTTCCCTAAAAGTTCTAGGGATGTGTGGTTCCAGTTGGCTTTTGAGGTAAGAGTATGCCTAAAGATAAAAGTAGATCAGCTTAGAAATGTCAAAATCTTACTCTTTTCTAGAAAGGGATAAGGAAGGTCATCCCTTGATCGCATGCATGGAGTTGTTAGCGATCAAGCCAGCAGTCCATTCTACCTGTCAATTTGTGTTCCGAGATTTATAATAGATCTTTCATAGCTAACTTCGCTATTGATTTTAGACCAACTCTTTTTTTTTTTTTTGCGATATGCATTGATTCTTTTTATGTTTCCTGCTTCACTGAAGTTCATTTTGTTTGGAAAAAAGTGGGATGCCAATTATGAAATTTCAAGAATGGAATTTTAAAATTTTCATTTTTCTGTGAAGGTAAAATTAAGATAAGAAACCTGTATGGCTTGTAAATTGACCAATAATATATATACCATAAATCTTGCGGCTATTTCTTCTCAAATATCAGATACTGGTTACATCATTCTTTTTAGTCGGAAAAAAAATCTAGTATTGTTAACATTGTGGCATTTGATATATATTTGTTTTGTAATAATGATATTTACAATTGCATCTGCAGGTTGATAATGTTCAGAGAACGCCAGAAGCTGCCAATCTAAATTGAAGACGTGCACAAAACTTTTGTCACAATATTTGGCCTCCAATTCTTTTTGTTCTCTTCGTATATTGATTTGGGCATAGAGTTAGCGTATAGATCTGGGCTTTGTACAGCAACCCAATTTTTGCAGCAATTTTTTTAACCCTCAATTTTCGAGGGAATTATAATAGAAAAGAGATCCACAACCTTCTTACCTGTCATCTATGTAAATGATAATGATTGGAGGATATTAGTTATACCATCGTCTGATGCCCTTCATTTTGGTTCTCTGAGGGTATCAAACACCATGCAGGCTAGCATGGAGGGTGTTCTCGTAGAAATCGAATTCAGAATACTTGCTCCTTGGCAGTGGCTCTGTGATGCTTTCTGGGTATAATAGGTGTTCTGATAGGGAATTTGCAGTACTTAGGGGTGCTCCTACCGTATTCACTTCGATTTTTTGCTGGTATTGGTTACTCATAGAAGTAGTGCATGTTCTTGGAGAACTATTTTGTGCTTCTCTTGTTCTCTGCAATACATCTTCGAACAGACAACGGGGGGCAAGGAAAAAATTGTGACAGGTTAAGTGAACATAAGTGACAAATATGTTCATATATACTCACGCGAGGGGTATTGTGATCGCGTTGAAGTTATTTTGGGAGAAAATGCTGAAACTTTGAAGGTTTCTGAATTTCCTCCTGAAATTAATGAAATATCACGTTAAGTTATCTATCACTCGCTTGTTATGCAACCTTTCTTGCGCACAATAAGAGTCTCTTTGAATAAAAATTAAAAGTGGCATTTAAGGAAGGCGTTACTTCAGAAACAAACTGTTAATAGAAATTAAAAGTGGCATTTAAGAAGGCGTTACTAAATAATATACTAAACCAATTGGATAAGTTAATTTAAAAGTAATTAATAGATAAAATTATATTTTAATAAGGTGTCACATCATCAATTATCCCACATGAATTGTCAAATCAAATGCTGAAATTATTCAATTATCCCACTTTATCCCACTTTACCCCACTCAAAATATCCCAAAGGGGTAAAATTGTTCCATTGGAACACTTTTCCCCCTTAGCCCCAATTTGTCCCAACCAATAACCCCCCTTATTTTCTATGACTCGCGGTCTTTCAAATATCCAGGGTATCAACGTAACTGTCCATCTATGTCTATATATATCCGTACTAGAGAAATGAAGTAGCTGCAATTGGCTGCAAACCCGATAACTAGCTAGGTAGCTTTATCATATTCGTTAGGGTGCTATAGGAACAGGGGTCCCAAGGGGGGACAGATGAGGTGTCCCCCTAAATGCATGATGCATTGTTCATAAACAGTGCATCATGCATTCAGGAGGGCACCTCACCTGTCACTCGTTGGATATCCTATTTGGGTCCCTGAGGTATTTTTGTATTCGTTATTATCAATTATTATTCTCTCTCTACTCTTTATATCTTCTCTAAAACTTCGTCGATCTGCTACATATATCAATTTTTTCTAACATTTAACCATTCATGCCATGCCGGTGCATCTCCTATGAAAGAAACCAGTAACCCACAAAATATTATGAGACCGGGTTTACAAAAGGGCTTGAAGCCCAAGCCCAGTCGAATAACGTCGTAATAGTGCAATCCGGGTTGTTGGGCCGAGGCTTCAGCTGAACCCGCATCCAAAACACACTGGTCGTTGATTCGCTTGCTCCCCCCTCATCTCTCTCGGCCTCTTTTGCCCTTCTCTTCTCGCGCTCACTCTGTAGTCGGGATTAATTTTTTTGAAAAAAAAAAACTGAAAAAAATTAGTAAATTGATATTAGATTTTCACAGTTTTATCAGTTGACGGGGATTAATGTCGAGGTTCCGATCTCTGCTGCAAGGTTCTCTCAACGCCACCAAGAGAGGTAATCAAAAACCCTAACAAAAATACTGTATTTGGTTTTTCTTTTTTCTTTTTTTGGAAATTATCATGATTTGATACTGAATCCTTCAATTAATAATCCCTTCTTTTGTTTCAATAGTGTTTGATAGAAATTTGACCATTTCTCATACTAGCGTATGATTCAACATTTTCTAGCTGTATCTTTTGTTAATGACATTGCAATGAATTTAGGTCTGAATTTGTTAGTTGGGTAACACGAAAGTTTGGGTCCAGAAGAGGGAGGGAAAATAAGTGGACAAATAAATTTAGAGGAGGAATAAATGACATGAAAACCTGGAGAGATTGTAACTAGTGTCTAGTGTTACCCGATTTGTTCGCATGCATGATTGTTACGTCTAGAAACTAGTTGACAAGATTCTTCTGGTGATGGGGGTTGGTGTTGAGGGTCCCTCGGCTTCTCTACTGGCAGCCCGGTGGGTTGAGCCTCCTCCTACAAGGCCGACAAATGTTCAGAAGGCAGGTTGCTCCGATGACCCTCCGATGCTTAAGTCAGTAAATTGAGGGAGGAGGCAAAGTAGAAATTAGGATTTTTCTTGCCAACTATATCTCTATTTCTACTGATCCGGAGGGGTAAATCCGGAAGGGAAGCTTCCTAAGTGAATTCTCCATGCGTCTTCCTCTGACTAGCCGAGGTAGTTGCGCCAACTAGTAGAGGCGTGGAGTGAATGTGCCTTATAAGGGCAGTCGCTCCTCTCGATGTGAGTTGGTTAACAATCCATAGGTCACATGAGGGTTATTCGATTTTATTCGTTTCCTCTGGTAGAGGATGAGCCGAGCTTGGGTCGCATGGGCCGAGCAAGATTGTTTGAGGGAGTTACTGTTCTGATTGGGTTGGTGCCTGGTGTCCGATCTCACATGCTTGTTAGCGCGGTCTCTGGTCAGTATTTACGTTGACTGAGAGATGAAACAGGATTCACATGTCATTATATCATTGGCCTCTCTTAGAGGTCCGGTTCTTGGCATAACAATGCTGATGTGAGAGAGGAATTTTTTTCTCGTTGGGGAAGGTGGGAAAGATTAGATTGCTGTATGTTATACTGTAATGTAAAAATCCACATGATACAAGCATCGAGAACTATTTGTTGCTTTATTTACTGATTGGTTTCTTCTCTTGTGAAATCACATGATATCTAGAATTTTTGACATTGAATTCTACGAAAATGGAGGCTGCTACCAATTAGTAATGAAATGTTCTTGCTGTTACTTACACATTCTCCCTATTTGTCTAGGTTACTCCATGTTGGAATTGTTCTGCTTCATAAAAAGTTACTTAAGCAGCGCATGAATAAGCACTAAATTCCTATGGTACACTCTGAGCAACTGTTTTTTATGCTTATTCTTTCATGATGACTTGCAGCTCTTGCTTGGAATGTAGAAGATCTGATGCCACCAAGTGAAACATTTGTTTTCAATTTCAATTCCAAGGAGGAGCTCAAAAGGTGGCATTTGTACTCTGATTCCGAATATGGAGGTGATGATTCATATTCTTATAGTTTGATCTTGTACTTTAAGAAATCAGTTGCATACTGCTTGAAATTTGCATTATACTGCATTAAGATGCTCTTTTCGTATTAATAAAAAGTTTGGCAATGTGTGATACCACAGGCAATATGTTACCATCAATTGTGAGTGCTGGAAGTTGCTACAGTTATGTCAAATCCATGTCCTTTACAACTCTCTTTGTCTGTTCAGTATTTCGCACTCAGGCTGTTCCATTGTTGTAAATCATACCATTATGCCTAGGAAAGTACATGAGAAATGTAAGGACCATCTGACAGCTTAGCACGAACAGTTTAAAAGTATTGGTTACAATCTTTAGCACCTTAATTTGAAGTTAGCCTTTGTGTCAGTTAAGGGGTTTTTTTTTAAATGACCAAATTCTTGCTTGTGTAAATACCTAGGAAATTTTTGAATCTGGTGGTGGTTGTCGGCAATCTGTCACTATTCTGGGTTTTTTTTCCAACTAAGTGATATTTCTTTGCTATCTCTTTCTATACGGAAACACCTTTGTGTTGCAGTTACTGTTGTCATAGTTTTGAGTAGGTTTGACGAACAAAGTTTGAATTGAATATTCTAATTCGTATTCAAGACAAATAGGAAATGTGTATTCGAATTTGATTGAATTTAGTATTCGAATATTCGTCAACTATTCGCGAATATTCATTAACAGTTTTTCTGTAGTCTTTTTGTGAATTATTCGGTTCATATTTGATAGATATTCCATAAACATTTGATAAATATACGTTATGCTATCCTAGTCTTAAAATGCTGCCAAACATGATACAACCAATGTATATGCAACCTAGTGATAAATGTAATATTCACAAATCAAAATCTACTTGTATGTGACTATATGTGTAAAAAAAGTTTTGGGATGCATAGAAAATATAATAACTAAAATTTATAGGTCTAAAGTGTAATATATAAACTAATAGCTTATTAAATAAACAAATCGAATATATCTGATATTAAATTCTATATGTTTATGAACCGAATACTAAAAACTATTTGTTTATTGTTAAATGAACCATCAAAACAAATGTGACCGAATGCTTAAGCAAATAAATCCTGAACTGTTTGTTATATATTTGTTTCCATCCCTAGTTTTGAGTGTGATAGTGCATTTCGGTAATGGCGTTTCAAATTTTTTGGAAGTTTGACAATGTCTGCTTATCTTGTGCTAAACCTCAAATAATTTTTATTTCACACTGCCGTCTTTTCATCTAGTTGTTTATTGGTATTTTATCAGATGTCAACTGTTGATTCCGTTTATAGGAAGTCCAACCTGAATCTTATAGATTTCACCTCCAGGTTTATCTTCAGCTTCCTTGGAGATAGCAGATGGTGGTGTTTGGACACGTAGTTTGTGGTCTTCCGTTCATACATCTGGGAGCATGTGGAAATAATCTTTTGGACACGTAGTTTGTGGTCTTCCGTTCATACATCTGGGAGCATGTGGAAAGGTGCTGGCATTAGCCCAACGCCTCATGTGTCAGCCAACGTGTCCACTTGCCGGCTCACATTTTCATAAGATAATTGTTATGAATCTTGATTTATTCCACCAATATTATTTTTTATTAAATGAACGCGCTTTCGCTTTCGGCGTCAAAATAGAGGTATGCTGGTACAGTGGTACCCATCACCGCCGTCGATTTCTAATCATTATGTCTGTCGAATTTACTGTTTAACCTGTAGTAAATAGTAATTCTGTTTTTAACTAGAACTAGGGTACGTATAAAATAAAATTTGAATAGATTTAGCAGTGAGCTTATCAAAA